ATATAAAACATATTTTAAAACATTAAAACATTTAAATAGACAAATATGCACAATGAGTTTCCTAAACAAACATACTTCGATATATTAATTTTAAAAATGGTGTATTTATCTACAGTGAAAAACTAAACATTTCGCTTCTAATTCTCAATCAAGCTTGCAATAAAAGTAAGCAAAAATGCTTAGCCATATTTAAATCTATAGAACCTTCCCTATATTACAGCTGTATTCTTATCTTTTCACACAAAGAATCACTACTCCTCTTTTTCCTGACATTCCCAGTTCCTATAAAAACACAGAGTTCAAGATTGGAGCTTATGATTCTCAAAGTCTGGAAAGAAATTCTCCTCAATTTAGGATTCACAGCCACTGCAGATGATCATCTAACACAGCTTTTCTGGAGTAGATCCCTTCTTTCAAGACCCAGCTGATGAAAAGTAGTAAGATTGTCCTTCAAAGTTCTTATTTTAGAATACACACAAGGACCTCAATTTACTGTTTGTCTGCACCTTTGGGAGATAAGTATTATTTATAGGAGATGGGGATATGCAAAACACATATTCTAGCTATCTATAAGCTAGTAAGTAGTCCTGAAGAACAGACATTCAAATTCCCTTATTTGACCTGTTCCCTTTTGTCTAGAATAAAGAGATTCATTGGGCCAAAGAGTGGTGAAAATACACTCCAAGCTAAGGATATGGCATTTCAGTGGATGTGGAAGAAAAAAGAATTCTAGGTTCTCATGCTTGGAAATTCATCTCATCCCAGTTATTACTTTTCCATAGGGAACATGGCCAACTTCAAACTCCAGGAAGTCTGCCAACTAAATTCTGCTAATCTACATTTTCACAGATTTATATGCAACAAAACTACTTTCTACTATGGTAAAGCTGCCACGTTAATATTACTTTCTCCCTTTTAATGTTTTTCCACACTGGCTGACACCATGTGCTGTTGTGGAAAGACATGTTAAGAAAAGGTAAAGGTTTGAATCACTGCCTTGCAAGATACACAGAACCAGTAACAAACCACCTCTGTCCCATCCCACTGTCCAAAGGATCCAACCGAGCAGCTACCAGCTTTTCTGTATGCATGTTCCAAATTGAAATAAATAGGCTCTTTTGCAAGCAACCTAAATTCAGATCTCCTAATTAAAAGCAAATGTATTCCACCAGCCTTAAATATTTGGCTCTCATTCACTTACACATACAAAATTCTAAGTGGGCAAAACAGTCTCTAAATTCATGATGCAATTATTTTGGTTTGTCAGCAAGTAGGCCCTTAAATTATGTTATTGAACTATCACTTCATAAATCCAGACACATAATGAAGAAAAGCCATGCTTTACTTAATTCTGAGGGTTTCTCTTATGGTTAAAGACACCTACTTTTTGTTTGTTTGTTTTTCACTTAGCTCTTAAACTTAGTGTTTCTTAGGCAGCGTTAACTAGTGGTCAACTCAGATAAAAGTTTCAGTCTTTCTGAAACGTAGAGAATGGGAATATTCTTCTGACAAACATATATATGGAAACCATACTTTCGTGTTTGTGAAGAATTTATCATATATAACTGCTACAATTACTCATAGTTTCAGTGATCAGGAAAGGTTTAAAAACACCAAGCTTAAAATTTTGAAGTGTTCATTTTGAGATGTTTGTCTTTAAAAAAAATACTGACATAATTTTGAAATTTGGAGCTGTTTATACTTTTAGTCAGCAACACTTTCAGAAGACATAAAAACCCCCATCACATTGATACTTTCTAAACCAAGTATGATCTGCGTCCTAGCTGACTCATTATGTCACTGGTGGTATCAGAAATCAACAAATATACAGCTCAAATGGACTTTTACTTTCTAATTAAAAATAAAGTGCCTGCCACTCACACTCTAGGCCTCTTTGTTCTTCAACTTCGTTAAAAGGCTGTAATGTAATACCCAAGGATTTTTTACTGCAGGGCAAAATTACTCCAATAATGCAACACAAAATGAAATACTGCCCAAAAGGTCAACTACGCTGAGAAGAAGACGAAAGAGAATTTAAGCAAGCACAAGATTTTTTAATTTCACTTGGGATCCCAAGAGTAGAGAAAGATCCCAAAGGTAGAAAGAGGTCCCAAAGGTCAAAAGAGGTCCCAAAGGCCAAAAAAGACCCCAAAGGCCAAAAAAGACCCCAAAGGCCAAAAAAGACCCCAAAGGTAGAAAGAGATCCCAAAGGTAGAAAGAGATCCCAAAGGTAGAAAGAGATCCCAAAGGTAGAAAGAGATCCCAAAGGTAGAAAGAGATCCCAAAGGTAGAAAGAGATCCCAAAGGTAGAAAGAGATCCCAAAGGTAGAAAGAGATCCCAAAGGCAGAAAGAGATCCCAAAGGCAGAGAGAATTTCTCTAACAAATCTTGTGCCAAGCAAGAGTAACACAAAATTGAGCAATACAGAGAAAATAATTTCTGGTATCTTGTCTATGTTATGCTAGAAAGGATATCTAACTACTGTATATCACCAGTTTCACATACTTACAGAAGAGAGAATTTTCATTTTTTCCAACCTAACTCACAAGGACGACAAAATACTGAACTATTTGGGGAAAGTTTTCCTTGGATGTACTAGATAAGGCATAACGTTTTCCATTGCAAGAGACTTGTTGCTTGGCTGCTCTGAACCATCTCATTTACTGTGAATCAAATTCACACATGGTGTGAAGCCAAAGGCTATTAATGACAGATGGTATCTCAGTATGACAAGGTACTACAGCTTTAAGTGCGTGACACTAAAACAACTGTGCATTGATATTGTCGCAGAACAGTTCACAAGAGGAAAGTCAAGAGTGCAATATTTGTGTGGTCGTGCTTAAAACCATGTATGAAAAACTGCCTACTTCTCCTCATGAAATTGTAGAAGCAAAGGTGAACTTTTCTAAACCACCCTGGGAGGACTACATCTATCTATATAGTATCAAAGATGCCTGTTCCTTGGTGCTGAGGTCAGGTGCCACAGCCCCCCCCCAATGAGGGGCTTGTAGTTTAGGGCTAGGGTCTAGGTAAAACCTAGCAATCACGTAACCAAGGAATTGAATAGCTTATAGAAATTAATAGGAAACTGAGGTTAGCAGGCGTGTAACTAACTAACAATAGGGTATTGAATAAGGGAAACGAAGTATAGAGAAATAGAAACTGAAGCGACCTAAAAACCAGATAAAACCGACTCTGTGACTTGGAGAAGTTCCAGGAGCATGTGCCAAAAGGTTATGGGACTTCAACATGATGAAGATTACTTACTTCATCCCTGATACCCCAGCCCACGACCACCAGGAGGCACTGCGCAGGCGCAACTGGGAGAAGAAGGTGGAGCACATGCAAAGGACTTCTTGGAAAAGGACCGCCTTTTCAGCGGAAGGATATGAATATGTATAGGCGCTTAATAAATAGGCACTATGTTACTGTATAAAATCAAGGGAAATTGCTGTTCTAGGTACGCATGTCTGTGGAGGAGAAATTCCCCGTGCGCCCGCACGTGGAATAAACATACCTACTTTACAACCTTACAGGTTGCGGAGTCTTCTTTCCGCAAGTCATTCCTAAAAGGCACATGCTATCTACCAGACCACTAAAGATATTTGGAAGTGACAGCTGACACTATGGATAATGGATGATTATGGGACAATATAGCAAGCCTGTATCTATTTAGTTTGCTAATATAAAGTAGCCTAGCTGTCTGTACTTCTTAATACAGCAATGAGTGAAGAGAGCTGTGCTATGTTAATCCATGGGAAAAGTAAAGAAACCGATCTCAGCACTTCCCTTCCACAATGCTGTGAAGCCCTCCAGAAAGAGTTTCGCTCTCTCCCTAACTAGAAGACTTGCAAATTGTGTATGCATATGGATCTGTTTATCTCCCTTAGGTCCATATTTCCACTGCTGTGAAGACCACTCAAGTATTTAAAATTAATTTCACAAATACTTACCTAGCTTATTAACTCAGTGTTCTGTGTTTTTGCACTCAACAGTTCTTCACATTAGTGTAAGTTTAATTTTGCAGACCATCTTTCCTATGTCTTAAATGATACCTATTTTAGAAAAAAGTTTAGGTCTCTACATAAAGGTTTAAATGCTTCCAGATACAACTTTTACTAAATATGTATGGACAGTCTTTCATTGTGTTCACTTCCGTCCCCCAAATTTCCTTAATCCAATAAAAACAGGTTACTCAGAGAAAAACTGAAGTTTTCTTCATTTTACCAGAGTTATTTTTTCATTTTCAGCTATTTATTAAATAAAATAAAGCATAAAAAGGAACAAAATTGCACAGAACATTATAAAGTTTCTCCTGGTCCTTTCTGTTCTACAAATGAGCCGAAACTATAGAAATTTCATCTAGTTTTAAGGAAAGATACTTATCTAGTGGCATTAAAATCATGAAATGTAAATTGAAAAAATATAGAGGTAATTTTGAATTACTGACATAAATGTAAGTACAAGATTTTACCAAACTAAAAATTTTTATGAGAAAAAAAGAACTAAAATGCTGATTAAAATCAATACAAATTAAGTCTATTGAAGATACAGTGGATAATTTTATTTATAAAATGCTACTGGCATACAATACACATAGTAAGTATGAAACTTGGTTTATAAAGAAGTGAAATGCTTCACAGAAGCATGGATTCCTGAGGTATTCTGAATACAATCCCTCATTTACTGGAATTTACAACACTGTTCCAATTGGCTTAAGCAGCAGAAGACTGGACACTTGACAAACACACAGTTAAGACACAGTTAAAAAACACATAGACAAATGGAAAGAGACTGGGAGATTGTGTCTCACCAGTACTCGTAGCCTTGGTCAAGGCGGAAAACCACCTTACATTGAAGGGGACAGAGATCTGTTAAGACTGGGTTTCTCAATTTCACAGCCAATTCAAATGTGTTGTAGATACCTGCTTTTACGTCATTGTCCATGGCCAGAGGTTGCACAGTCCTCTTGACATCATACAGAAAAACATTGCTGCTTTTGAATAAACAGACTGAAGGACTCGTTACCTTCACAAGTACTATTACAATTTTAAAAAAAATAGTGTTAGGTGCTTTCACTTTTTTTTCTCTTTCTCTGCTTTTATTCTCTGCTGTAGCATCTTCAGTTGAGTCATTACATTCAAAGTTCTGTAAACCCAGGTGATCTGAAAAGTAAATTATTACATTTAACTAATCCATATATATTTACTTACCAATTTAATGAAAACATCCATATAAGTGTATGCATACATACCACAATTATAATAGTATTCACCAGCAGTGGTGCTGAAAACACAAGTGAAATAAACATTCCTCTTGAATCAAAGTACTGGTATTTAGAAAACAGCCTGAAGAAATAAAATAAAGAAAAATAAAAGAGGAAGCTGTAGTCAGTATAGTTCACGTAACAGACTTTCACAGTATACAGATTATCCTATTTCTTGAGATCCCCAAGCATAGGCCAGCATTCTACTGTATTAAGTTAGAACAAAGAGACAGTCAATGCCTCATCAGTTTTGAGTATTTATTACAATATCAGTCTTTCTTTAAAGTTTTACTGTACAAAACCTAAATAAAAAACCTGTACATTGAGCAACTTACTAATGTGACTTGAACATTATATAATTGTGTATCAAAATCATGCTTATCCTGAAATTACTTTAAGCGTTTTGCTTACCCATATTAGAAGGGATAACAGAAATAATAAACGTAGCAAAGTTGTAATTTAGGTCTTGTATGCCTGAAGTGAAACAAAGATTTAGATGCCCACATAAAGTAGTATTAAACACTTAATTTCCAGTTTCATCATGGAAAGGTTATTCGAGTGCTTATGAAAATAAGCCGTCAGTTTAATTCTGGTACACAAGCTTAGTAAAGCAGACAAATGTTAATACTTTTTTATGCATATAAGTAAGTACATAAAATAGAGCAATATTTTTGAGAAGTGGTGCTTAACCAACTTAAGTATGAATAGCTACCAAAGAAAGCCCAACAACAAAACAAACAAACAAACAAAAAATCAAAGCTCACATACTTTTCCCCTTAACCATCCCAGTCTGCTTTTCTTTCAGTTATCTGACTAGTTTACAACCATCCATATAAACATAGATTTTAAGAAGTATAATGAATACATACTAGCTATTAAACAATATGTTTTCTTACAAGCTTGATGATAACTATGTTGTACTGTATAATTTTTTTTCAAAGGTTTTATATTGATCAATGTAACAGACTCTCTGCCATTACATTCTACTGATGAGGCATGAGTGACTCTCCTTAATTTTAAGTTTTCTGGCAATTATATGAAAAACCAGTATTTTCAGATTCATTTAAATGTGAAAAAGGAAGTGAATACATTTACCTCCAATTCATGGCTGCTAATTCATTTATATATTCAGCGCAGTACACCAAGCCCACTGTACAACAAAAGAAAAATATTAGATTCAGTATTTAAAAATAAACTGCCATCAGTTTTGCCATGTATACTAAAGATGTATACATAACAGATATTAGAATTCCTTGATCCTCAGAAGATTAAATTATACATTTAATATTTAATTGCACAAAACCAATTCTGATTTAAATGTCTCATACAGACTAAAGCGATCACAAAACATACCCACTATATTACAAACAAATGAACACAAAATCCTACTCATGTGAGCTTACAGAAAGAGCTCAGCATACAAACGAATTAAAAAAAAAAGAAAACAATCAGTATTTTCTCCAACAATCTTGGTGACTGCTTCTAGGTTATGTTTGTAAAAAGAAACACCAGCACTCCCCAAAACTGGTATGGAATTAAGTTATCATTTCAGATACTATGGTGTCACACTGTTAACACCTAACACCACTGTCTGAAGTTAGGGTACTAATTATACGCAAGCATTTTGGTAAAATACAAACTTTTTTTGAACAGGTGCATAGCAGTCTGCTGCAATCAGGTGAAAACTAGCATACTCTCACTCAACAATTACATGCAATATGAAGCCGTTAAGACTGTAAGCAAATTCAGTGCAATCACATGTTTAACACGTTTAACAGAAAAGCAATACAACTACAAAAGTTTAAGTTTGTCCTTGTATCATTTTCCCCAAGAAACAAAGCAAAAAAAACAGATTCAGTGATGACCTGCACAAGGCAATTAAATAACTAGTCTGGTGACACGAAGAAGTGCCATCTTGTTCTGTCATCATCTGATGCTTCGTACTGCACAGTATAAACATAGCCGCTCAGCTGCCAAGGCAAAATAATGTAAACATTTCATTATTTCCTCAGTTATTTCTCATTATCTACAATACAAAATTATTTATATTGCAGACACATCAAAAGTGGTTCTGTTTTTCAGGTACAAACAAGGCTTGGAGTCAGTATGGATATTTTTATGCATTCTTTTTTTTAACAGCAAGTTTACATCATATCTGAGTTAAAAAGCCAGCAATGATCAGTTCAACTGCATTTTCCAATGTACTTAGAACTTGAATGTTCAAACTAGTGTTATTAACACCGGGAATACTTTACACAGAGAGTCTAAAGCAAGCAGCATGTCATTGGAATTTCTGAATGTCTAATATTAAATTTAAGAAAGAAAAGCCTGTACTCTTATAGGGAATTTTCAGGCGTTATGCGTCATAAACAGGGCACTATTATTTTGCCCTCTGTAGATCATGTTAAACTCTGCAGTTGCAAGTGGACATACAGAAATTACTAAGGTTTCGAGATTCCTTTCTGGGGGTATGTAATGTTACTGAAACCTTAGCTTTAGCTAAGTTAGGTTATTTGCAATTTTAAGGAAGCTATAAATCCTCTGCCAGCTTGACTACTTCACTAAATGGTATTTTAAAAAGTCAACACGGTCCTCAAGTGGACATCTGCCTGCAAATCGCTTTTAATTCCTCATTCTTCCTCCATTACCCTGCAAGCATGACAGAACAGCGATACTGCGTAAAAAACCCGAACTCACTAGAAAATCCAACCCATAGCTAGAACCAAGCATATGACTCATAATACATGAATCTAACGTAAATCCATGCCATCTTAATTAAACCAAGTACCCTATCTTCAGCCTGTCAACCATAAAGACACAGCTTTGGCTAGGCAAGGCCACTGTGGATTTTCAGGCTGAAGTCTGATAAACTGTGAGATAACGTAAGCTGTTACTGCAATGTATCAAACCAGTGCTCCTCTTCCTCATGTCACTATCACAGCAGGGCATATGGTAAACCCAATCCAAAAATCAATCCAGCTGAAAGCTGGCCATATTCACTGAAGTGCAGCATTAGAATAAGGCAGAGTGGAAAGCAACCACTGGCTCTCAGCTGATTTCTGCTCTGCTTCTCCAGTATGGCAAAAATTTCTTGGGAAGCTGTGACAGACACAGCATTTACCATGCAGAAACCTTACTTATCCCAGACTCTCAGTAATGCCAGAGTTTTAAGTCACTACTACATACAGTCTTGGACACTAAATAAATACATATTAATAGGTCATAGCAAGTTCTATAACACTTTATCATGTACAGACATATGCATTACTACGAGAAAAATACTAATTTGCATTCACTTTACCTGCTGTAAATTATAAAACTGTGCTGTGCAAGTATGTAGAATCATAGAATGGTTTGGGTTGGAAGTACAAGAAGAAAACCGTTATCATTAAGACACCAAAATAAGCTATTTGACAATATTAACAGCTTAAACAATACACATGCCCCTTTATCAGCCGAATGCTCGTTCACGGAAGCATAAATACAGCACTCACCCATGCAGAGGAAGTGCCCTATTTGCACCCGGTAGTGCTGGAAAGAGACGCACGTCAGGAGGAAGCAGAGGACGTGGAAAACCGCCAGCCCTACCAGCCAGGGCTCGGACCAGTCCGTCCTCTACGGACGAAATGAAAGCAAATTAGGCTATGGCAGGAGAAGGAGTGTCACCAGGCAGCCAAAGCGGAGCAGTTCTCCTTCTCCCGCACCGAAACAACACCGATTTCAGTCACGAACCGCGCTCAACAGCCCGCCCTGTACCAAGCTGAGCACCTCAGAGCGAGCGTCCCCCACACGCACACAGAGTGACCGGTGCCTTCTCCCCTCTGTCCAGGCGAGCAGCCAGCCCGGCTCCAGCTCCCTCCTTACCGCCAAGATGCCAGACAGCCCTGACGGGCTGCTGAGCGCCAGCTCCATGGCTGCGGCAGCGCGCCACTCTCTCGCGAGACTTCGGCGGCCACCTGTTCCGTGTCCCGCGGCCGTAGCCTGAAGGGGTTGGACGGCAGAGAAATCTTCGCTCCTCCCTCTGGGGCAATGGAGAGTAAAAAAGCCGTCTGCCCCTAGGGGTGGTGGTGCTTCAAGGGCTGCCCTCATCCGCTGAGAAGGCGGAAAGCATGGCTGCCGGTCTCGTATATTGGGAGGATGAGCAAAGATGGCTCTCTGCACCCCAGTAGTTGCCTCTCTTGAGGGTTATACCAAGTCAGAACCAGCTCTCCTGATTTTGTGGCTGGAATTGTGTTCCTTAAAGACAACTCTGGCTTTTCAGAAATGGGGTAAGAAGCTCTAGTTATGTTTTTAGCATTTGATACTGAAGTTAGGAAGCTAGTGGAGATTTTTCTTGTCATCATTTGCTTGGTGCAGTCAGGCTCGTGTCAGGGTATTCAGGGCACTTTGGATTGGTGGCCTAGCATTGGTGTTGCCTTTTTGGTCTTCTCTCAGCAACACTCAGTGTCCAGCTTCAGCCGCTTCAGGGATGGAAGCGCAGGAAAAAAAAGTTTTACACACAGCTGGAAATTTCTGCCAAAAAACCCAGCTGAGCAGTCCAGGCAGGAACTTAAGTGAGAAATACTGGTTTGTGTGGTGGTCCCCTGCCCCGTTTTTTTGTGTTTTGTGGGTTTTTTTTGTTGATGGGGTTTTTGTTTGTTTTGTTTTTGTTGTGTTTTTTCTGGTTTTTTTTTGTTGTTTTCTTTTTTCCTAAATGAAAAAAAAATACAATGGAAAGTGAAAATAAGACATATAAAAGGTTAAACCTGTCATTTATATTTCCTTTTGCTAAATGCATGTAAGTCTACAAGAGCCAAACACTTTTAAAAACCTATCACTTAAAGAGCGATTTCAAACTCAAGATTTCTATCAACTAAGCCAGAAGACTTCATGAATCTTACTAGGATTAGCTTTGCCAAACAAACCATAATGTCATATATAGCTCCACATTCTGCTTTCATGAAATTATTTTTTCTGACACTTAGGCTTATCAGATGTGAAGCTTCGGCTTTTTTTAAAATGCTTGGAAGTGCGTGTAGAAATAAATACTACAAATACGTTTTTTGTTTAGTCTACCATATAGCCCAAGATAGGTCATCACTGTGAACTACTCTCTTTTCACTGTCACACTTCTGCAATTTAGTATGAGATACCTGAAACTAAAGATGCGTTTCCCTGTTTCGGTCTAGGTTTTTGGTGGTCTTTTTCTCAACAACAATAATACCTGGAGACCAACTGAGGCTTTTACTTAAAGGATTGTAAAATTAAGTAAGGCGATACACAGGCCATAATTTCTACTACCATTCTGCTCTTAATTTTATGACTGAGGGGAAAAAAGAAGTTTTGATTCCACATTGTAGATTGGGAAATAAGACTAGAAGAAACTGACTTATCATTTGGAAAAGCTTACAGCTAATGCAGCAAATCAAATTATTCTGGATTTTTGTAAATGAGAAATCAGCTTCTTGTAATTGGTCAGTAATTGCCTGCAATAGTCATATGTATGGGGTTTTCTGTGAGGGGGTTTTTGGTTGTGTCTTTGGTAATCAGTGCCCCTGTGAATTCATGTATTTAAGGGAGGTGCAGGTCATGCCCCGCTTGCTCTCTGGCATCGGCTCTGACCAGCCCAGCCCCAGGTGCGGGTGCCACGGCCCTGGCCTTTCCCGGCTGGGCTTGGCTGGCCCGGACCACAGCTTCAGCTTAAACCCCACTGCAGTTTAATCCCAAAAAAAAGAGAGAGAGACGGGAATCTCCAGAACCATCGGAGGAGACCTGCAGTGGAGAAAGGAGTGGGACCCGAGGAGAACAACTTTGAAGAACACCAAGGTCGGTTTGAAGGAAAGAAAAAGAGAGGGAGGAGGGTGAGGACGCAAAACCCAGGTTTCCCCTTTGCAACACATTGCGAGCG